GGATTCTAAAATCAGCTAGTGGCCCCCGCAAGTTGGATGACGCATGACGTAATCAGTAAATGCCCCAACGGTAAAACTCTTGGCTCCCCAACGTAAATTCGCGTCGCGTCCTGTCCTCGCGAGCGATTACCACCTCGACCCGCTTCCAGTGCGTTCGAAGAATTTTAAATTGGGACATATCGATACCCTGTGGCCCACGTGCGATTGCGTTCATGCCAACAACGTCACGCCTTTCCGAGCAGCTGTGAACGACCCACATCGCGCCAAGGGAAGAGCGGTCTGAACAACCATTGACACGATCTCTATTTTGTACTTCCCAATATATCTCATAGTACTCGAAGCTTTGATATCAAGACAACATCATATTCCAATCCTCGCACACGCATCCCGTACTTGTCCAGAGTCCGCATAGCCTTTCCCAGCCCAACAAACAAACTATGGACTCTTCCGACGGCTTCTCATTCAATGATCTCAATTGGATGAGACAAAACGAGATACCAAATACTGTGAAGACAGCGCTACTATATGGCGAGATCCGTGGAACGGGAGAGAAAGCTGATGTCTGGATCTACTTGGACAAGGCCACGACGTCCCTCATCTGGCAGATCTACTACCCCGAGGGCAACGCCAAGCCTCAAGTCATCACCGTTGAAGAGGCTTTGGAGAAAGCGAAACCCTGTGCCTGGTTCAAGCTTGCCACAACCCCGGATAAGCTGGAGGCCTTGGCCACATACTATTTCGCGAGAAAGAAGTTGACGAAGAGATACCAACCGAAACTTACGTTTGAACAAAACCGACTACTCAAAGCCATGCTCGGTAGTGAGGCCCCATCTAAGATCGTCAAACTACGAGTTCGCGTCCCCGAATATCTTGGTCGAGAACAATCACCAGAAGCCCTGGTTGAACCTCAACAACCTTCAGAAGTAGTTCCAAGTCAAAGAGCCCGCTCAAAGTCAACAATATCAGTCCATCAGCTACCCTCGCCATGCAGTACTACCGACTACGACGCAAAGGTATGTTACGAAGTATATAGCTGTAATAAACGCAATTTAACAGCATGCAGCGCGATGATGAATCACGAAGATTGAGTGGTGCCACTTTGGTCGAACCACTCGACCCAATCGACCGCTACTTTGATCTCGAAGACCGAATGGAGACCGCCAGCACCAACGTAAAGCGCCATAACAGCCGAATAGAGGACCTAAAGCGGAAGAGGTCGGAGATTGAGAAAGAAATCAACATGGAGGCGGAAGCTGTAGAGTTGCTCATCGCTGAGAGACATCAAGCCAAGGTCGCGAAGGACCGACTTTGGAATGTGTTGTCCAGGGAAGAGGCCTACGAGCTGGGTCGCCTCGACACCGCAAGAAAGATTGCCAGACTCGATTGAGCTCAAAGCCGATTCATGGCCTGATGTCGGCGTACTGCCATCTTTTGGAACGAACGATCTGGGTGGAAGTGGATGCATCGCTCTACGAGTAGTCACGCAAGCCAGTCTACGACGACGAGTCGCTAGATAGGAACTCCAATCCTCTGCGATTGATACGCAGGCACGAAGAACATCGCAATACCGGCCACCAGTTCTCTCAGGCTTTACTTCGGGACTTCGTCTATTCGCGCAGATCTCGTCGCGTGGATATCATTTGGGTTGCGGACGTCGTGGCTGGCACGTCGCTACGTAACATCGCAGCACTAGTGGACGGCAGCCAAACTATCACATTGCGCACTCATGCGATCCACGGGAAGCAACGCGTAGAAAACTACTCGACCACACGTCTTTCCTCGTCATTACACACCACTACCCTAGCTGCCGAAACGAAACCCTGCACCGACCGGCAGCGCGAAACTCGCTCCATGACGAGGACCAACGATCGAATAGGCCGAAGCATCGCGCTATCAACAAATTCTTCCTTAGAGGTCATTGAGGCGTCACAATACCCACATACTCCTGATGATAGACAAGCTCGAATAGCGAAAGGCGAAGTCGCGGAGTAAGCATGCAGATGGGCTGCCTGGCAATACTCAGCGACGCGAAGCCAAGATCTGCGCTTCAGACACCAAGCAGGCCTACTAGTCTAGACCTTTGGAAGCCTGATGCCAGGAGCTGGAGGAGGAGTTTGAAGATGGGACGCGAGCGTTGTGGCGCTGTAGTTTGGACGCATGAATGAGGTAGGGCAGTTTTGAAACACACTACCGTGTGGAATACAATACGATAGCTACGTGATTACAGCAACTTCTAGAGTCTCCGTAGTCTGCAAACGTCATACTGGTTGTCCTGCTACTGCCGCTGCTACCACGGTACCAAGAAAGTCCCCGTCCAAGCCATTAACGCCGTACTAGCAAAGCGTACACTAGTCTTCCTCGCTGCTGTCGGTCTCAGACTTTGCACCCTTCTTTCCCCACTTCGACGCTTTCATCATCATCTCACCTCCAAGAACGAAGATAGCGCGCTCCTTCGGGGTGAGTGACGACTGAAGATGCTTCATTTCGACTCTAATGCGCCGGTTCTCTTCCTTCAGTTCCCGCCCCTCCACCTCCATGCCGGCTAGCTGCGACTCAAGAGCTTTGATCTCATCGCGCACATCCTCCTGTTTCTCCTTGCTGATCACGATGTTTTCCTTGCACTTGCTCTTTTTATCGAGGGCATCGCGATAGGCGTCGGCGAAACCGGGGAAGTCAATGGACGACTGGGAGTTGGTGCTCCTCTCAACCTGGCAGCCTGTTAGTATACAACAAAGTCTAGGTGATCAGATGAAACTTACAAGGGCCTCTGTAGACTCCCGGCGTGTCGACGAGGTACGCGAAGTGTCCATGGCGTCGCTGCTGTCTGCCTCAACGGGGTCCGAGTGGATGAGGAAACCTTGGGCTTTGTTGACGATTGCGGTAGAAGAGGGCTGTGCTGTAGCCACCGGAGGAGTCGATAGCGGTGGTGGTGTGCTCGTAGTCAGTCGCTTCCTGGGTAGATCTGGGGTCATGGTGCGAGCCCTCTTGAGAGAATCGCCTTCGGGGATAAACAAGGTCGGTTCTCTTTGTACTGCGGGAATCATAGAGACCGTGGGAGCACGCTGAGGGGTGGGCTGCGGAGTGCGTCTAGCCTTGGCCAGTTTGACGGGGGGGCTGACCACTGCAGGCTGGCCGTTCACCTTCACCACCGAGCCCGCTCTTGATCCAGACTGAGAGACCGAACGCCTGGCACCGTCCACGTTCTGAGCGGACGAAACGCGCGTCCTCACCACCGAGCCATCTCCTTCTGGCCTAGACTGAGAGACAGAGGGCTTGGTACTGTGCGCATTCTGTGCAGCAGAGGCGCGTGACTTCTCCTTCTCAATGTTCGCGGCCACCTTTACAGCGTACTCTCCAGCCGTCTTGCATGCCGCAGTCAGCCAAGTGGTGAAGTAACCATTGACTATCCATGGCACTGGTGTATTAACGCCCTTGAAGATGAAGTAGTACTTGATCACTACGCGGAGCTGGTCCAAATCCATAGTGCCCGCTTTCTTGAGACACTTGAACGCATTTGCCTCAAGAACAAGTCTGAAGAGGTCAGTACGTGTTCTACATTAGGCCATAAAGCAGGAATGACTTGCCTCACCGCTTCCTCCGCGCTTATGCCTCCTCGGAGCTTGCCGAGACGGTCGAAGATGTTGAAGCGTTGCTCGGGGGAGCGGCCAGCGGCGTGGTCGTTCTGCAGCAGAATCCACACCTGGCAATCTTTATCCTTCCCATCCTTGATGGTGCCGAAGAGCATACGAAATGGCATCATATTTGGACGCTCGTTCTTATGGTCAACGAAGGCGACAAGCCGGACCTTGGCGACAGGGAGATGATGGAGAAGTGGGACTCGGGCTTGGGTTTCGGCAAGGGCCGTATCGGCCGCACCTACTTGGTTTTCCATGGCCCTTGGAACCAATGCCGAGATTGAAGCAGGTGCTTTCGGTGTAAGGTAGCTGAGTTGGTTGTCGCGTCTTGTTTTGTGTTGATCCCGGCGTTTGCATTGTATGGATGGGGTTAGCGTGGCTCTAGCGCGCTTTCGATGGAGAAGGCGTAGCCTAGCCATGAGGTACGCAGGAGGTATTCGCTGTATTTTATTTGAGCTTTTGTTTCTGTAGACGACATTGAGTACCTCCTGGGTACAGTTCATGCTGGTGCAACTCTGCGAACATACTCTATCAGTACCTGAGTACCTGGGAGCTTTCCATTACCAGACACACTGTTGAGCATGTCGCATTAAGCGCATCAGCGCTGTGAGGTCTTCTTATTAGACGTATGAAGACCCATCTCCTACGGAGTCTGTAGGCTTGATCTGTGCGCCGATTATACCACTAGCGTTCAGTCGGCTCTGATTTTGCATTTGCTCTCGCCTTCCCAGATATCAAAGTTCAACAATAGTACTGTATCGCCTGCCAATGACAACTGCAAAGAAGACTCAAGCGACACTGCCCTTACGATGGCAACGCTGCATCGACAGACTGAACGCCACGCTAGTGCGCCGCGGCTTGTTCACAGTCATAGAGGAAGTGCTCTCTCCTGCTACACCCACATTCGACCAGGCAATTCTACAGGGACGCAAAGCTTTGAAGACCCCACTCGGGGACCGAAAGCAGAGCGATGGGATGTCGGTTCACGTATGGGCGTACATACTCCTCGATAGCAATGGAAGTGAACCATCCATCTTGTTTCGCGATGAGGTACCTCTTCACTCCAATGGTGCAAATACACTTCGACTATACCCACGATCTGCGTCCTCCTTACTGCGGAAGGCGAGCCATCTCAAATCACCGTTTTGTCTCCTACATCAAGAAACAGACGAAGGTGTCAAGGATGGGCGCGGTATGCTTTGCGCAGTTATCGCCTACTACGCGCTGATAGCAGGGTTGAGCGACTGTGCCATCCGATGGCGTCGGTTTGACGCCTGTATGATTGCCGCCCTGGATTATATCAACATTACCCTGAAATGGATGAGCGAAATACAGCATGAGCCGGCGCCCAGCAGAGCGACAGCCATGAGACCTTCACTCATCGTGAGACTCCCCATAGGCCAAAAGGCTCTTGCAGAGATTACTGGAGTTTCCCATGGCCTTGAAGTTCCAGACAGCGAGGACGAAGAGGATATCATGCTTCCCGATAAAGACATCCAAGAGCAGCCAGATATCCCAGACGCCACGAACCAACCTGCAGTCCCCGTTCTAGAAGAGGTGCCAGACACCATCGACAGCGTCTTCGGAGACGACGTGGCCGGCGTCGCAGAAGAAGTCGATAGCGTTATCGGGGATGCCAACGACAGTATCATTGTTGCAAACAGTCGATCCCAAGTACACGGAAACGAGAAAGCATGCTATCCTTCGTTAACGATCAGGAAGCGCAAGCTGGAGGACATTACGGGAGGAAGCGATGGCGACGTGGTCGAGGAGATGGACGGGCACGGTTGGCGGCAAGCTTCTTCGGGCCGATGGCGAAGGAGGTAGGATAGCTGAATTTGAGGGAATGTTAGGGTGATACGGAAGGTCACATTGTACAGTAGAGTGTTCTAAGGTCAAGGTATCGTCACTTCGAAGACAGGATGGCAGCGGCGAAGGCCGGTTATTACGTTGCCCGCCCGAGGTTTCGCCGGTTGCTAGAGCTAAACCCATCATGAGCTAGCGCATTCTGTGCAATGCCAGCAAATCTGCACACATCTTGTCTCAATGACTACAGCTCACTCCTCTCACCAGACGTCTCTCTCCGTCCTTTCTTGCATCCGTCCAATGCCGCCACTGCCTCATTACTTGCCCTCAAATGCTCAAATTTCGGTGCATCTTCTCCTAATCCCCATGCAAACACACCACCAAGCCCCTTATCCTTCACGATGATCTGCATCTTGCGCCTAATAGCCTCAGGCGTATCCCAGGTCCAGAACAAGTTCTCATCAGCATCCCAGTAGTACTGTCCACCACCCACCTCGTCATAAACACCGTTCTCCATCGCACGCTCGTACGATGCAGAAAGTTCCTTGGGAACAGCGTCGTGCCATGAGAATGCGCCGGCTTTACCTAGATCAGCACCTGTCACAGGGTCTTCCATGAGTTCTGTCGCGCAGCCGATGGGGTTGACACTGCATGTTGAATTCGCAGCAGTCTTGTACCATTTGATGTAGAATGCCAGTCCCAAGTTCGCCTTCTCAGGCGGGACGCCGGCGTCGAGGTAGGCATCGATGGCTTCGAGTGAGTTCTGAATACCGGTATGATGCTTTGTTACATTGTCGCGACGGTTGAACATGTCGTATGTCATGATGTTCAGGTAGTCGACTGATTCCATGATGGCAGGAATGGTTGAAGGAGTGAAGGCTAGCATGTCGCGTGGTAGACCGGGGACAGCTGCTGAGATGGTCTTCTCAGGTCCTACTGCTGAGCGAATTTCCGCTAGTAGCTTGGGGTAAGCAACTATCTCCCAAGCTTTATTGGAGTTGAGATGGCCAGGTGTTTTGTAGTCTTCGCCGTTGCCGCCTGGGTATTCCCAATCCATATCGATACCTTAAGAGGTCAGCTTCTTCTTTTATTAGCCCTGTTCGTGTGCGACACACCATCAGCGCCTGTCGCATCGAGCATAGCCTTGACGTTGCTAGCGAATAGCTTCCGGCTTTCCTCTGTTCTGGCGGCTGTCGAGAAGCCATCTGTGTCACCCCATCCGCCAATCGCAACTTGGATGATCGTGCCATCAGCAAACTTGGGCCGAACGTCTTCAATAGTGGTGAAGAGCGGCCATTCATCTTGCTCTGGGTTGTTGAAGGTATCAGATCGCATGAAGGCGAGGGCTACATCAGTAATGTTTGACACCAGATTTTCCTCTGGTACCACATCATGCTGCCTAATAGGCATTAGTAATGTTGGCTCACGTAGGAGTTGCGGGCTGTGACTTTACCCTGTTAGGTACATGATGTACTTCAGCCTCGTCGTGGTGGCCGCTGCAGCAGCGAACGTCCAGGCTAGACAAAGCCATAGCCAGTTATGTGTAGCCATGTTTCACGACTCGTTCGAAGGACAAGATCTCACGAGCTCTTCAGGATGGCACTAAGACGTGTTCATGCGTGGTGTTGTAGTACTAGTGCCCGATGGCGTTCACTGGAGTCCCGAAGATGCCCCGCAATTGATTAGGCCAATCACGGACTAGCGTCTTTGGTCGACCGTTGTACCCAGGTAGTGCCCGGCAGTCGCGTCTCGTCGAAGGTCAACCCCGAAAGGCCTCGGCCATCGCAACGGCAAAGCCTACGGCAGCCTTGAACGGAGCTGCATCGGATTTCACGGAGTGTCATGAGCTGACAACTGCTTATTGTGGCTTGACCCGCTGTCACTGGACTGCGGCTGGAGACGTTGCGCGATTGGTAGGAAGAAGCCAAGAGCTTCAGCCTTCCGGTTGGAGTGTCATCCGCGCATTTCACCTTCAGCCTTGTCGGTCAACTTAAAGAGACCTGCGACCTCTCGGCCTACATTCTCTCCCCAACATTTCGTGCACCTTCCCATGAGCGTGTGCTCATACCAACGACACAATGGGGGCAACCATGTCGAAGAACGCTACTTTCAGGTCTCAGTCGCCATACGAAGCTCTCCCATTATCGCACGGAGAGATACGCGTTCTTGAAGTCGCGCCTAGCCGCGGCCGCGGCATCGTCAAGTGTACGATGAAACGCATCTCGCTCATCAACAATCCTGTGCCAATTTATGAAACCATCTCATACTGCTGGGGGCCTCTTCGAGCTCAGTCTACCATGAGGCTTAACGGACATCGGATACGCGTGCCAGCAAGCTCAGAGGCCGCTGTTAGGCGCATGCGACTCAGCGACCGACCGCGAGTACTTTGGATCGATGCCATATGTATCGATCAGTCATCGACGACAGAACGCAGTGCACAAGTAGCTTTCATGGCGACTGTATACAGCACCGCAAAGCACAACCTCATTTACCTTGGCGAAGATGACGACGACATGGCTGATAGAGGTATGGAGGCTCTCCAGGACGTTGTGAACGACATGCGTGCCGTGACTGCAGACTTCACCCAATTATTGCAAACCATCTTCAATCACGAAACGGGCGCCAGATTATACTCGAATGAACCGTTCAACACGAGTGTTGACTTCGTCGCTCTTGAAGCTCTATTCGGTCACCTTTGGTTCAGGTAAGATTGCACGCCGACTATTTCACGTCGAGTTGAACTCAGCGAATATAGACGTCTGTGGGTGCTTCAAGAAGCGGTTCTTGCATCATCCAACACCTGCCATTGGGGCAGTGTTACTTTCGACCTTATCGATACAGTACGAGCTGCAGCATGGCTCGTGTACAGATATCGATTCGTTCCTGGTAGTCTTTGCCATGGCGTTGGCTTGAGCTGTGCCTGCCAGATGTTCGACATCATCTTCCCCATCCCTATCCCTGGGCTCGTTTCGAGGCGCAGATATCTAGCCACTATGTTCGTGACCATTCAACAATTCGAAAGCACTGAGCCAAAAGATAGCATCTTTGCCATTCTGGGCTTACTGGACAAACACATGTCTCTGGAAAGCAGTCAAGCGGCATTACTTGAGGTTGACTATGCAAAATCGCTTGCTAGCATATTGCGAGATGCTACACGGTACTCTCTGTGTCAAAGAGGTGATCCAGACGCTTTAAGCCAGATCTATCACCGTTTCGATGTGTTAGACGATTGCCAATCGTTTCCGACATGGGCCATTCGCGCAGATCTGCAACGAGATGCTATGGACGCTTCCGATCTACCTAATTTTTACAATGCTAGCGGCGGTCTCGAGATGCAATCTTTACTTGATGATGTCTCTCTTGGCGAAGAAGTGCTGCTTCTCCAAGGAATAGTGGTCGATGAAGTATATCAAACGACTGTCTCGTGCGCAATAAGTACCTGGGAGAGGGACGAAGAGTTCCATGAGTGGCTGATCTCTGTCATGGGTACAGTTTTGCGCCACTGCAACGTCGCAAGTCGGGAAGAGCTCTATCTAGCCACGGCCTTTACTCTTGTGGCCGAAGAAACCTGGGATAGAGGACGCGCACAGTCGAGTGATCTACAGGGCCTTCTAGATTATCTCAAGAGCTTGACCCCAGACGATAATGATGAGGCCTCAAATGGCGACAGGATCACGAAAGGTTTTGACTCGGGAAATATGAACTCGATGCGTGGCGCTTCTTTCATGGAAAATTGTATACACCGCCGATTCTTCGTTACCGGGGCTGGGCGCGTAGGTATAGGACCTCGTTGCATGCAACCCGAAGATATCGTTGTAGTCCTAAGGGGAGGGACAGAGCCTTTCATCTTGCGAAAGAAAATCGACGGTTACTGGCTCCTTGGCCAGGCTTACGTGCACGGCATCATGGACGGCGAGGCGGTGCAAATACACAAGGCTCGGGGCGGATTAGAGGAGGTGTTCCACATGCGGTGAATGCAACGTCTTTTTGCGGGAAGAGCTGGCGGAAGTACGGCTCTGGAAAGATGGAGTGACAAAGTGTACGAATAGCGCTATTTCTTCGAGAGCCATGCAGACTCTATCGCACACACCTAATGCGATGCTGAACTGAAGGTCCAGAGCGCGGAGCGCGGAGCTAAATCAAGAGAGGGAATCTCGTGTCGAAGTCTTGGTCGAAGCAGTGCGGAGGGAGGAAGTTGGATGACAACCACCGTTACCGGTTATCCACCTCCCAGTGTACCTTACCAAGAGTCCTCACGAGAAGACCATCCAGGCTCGAGCGCGGAACACAAGAGAAGACCTTCGATGACGCTTCTCCCTCCGAGATCCGATCCAAGTACTAAAAAAAGAGCGTAAACATTCAACAGCGGGGATGCCCCAGTGCTTACCCACCCAAGTACGAAATACGCCGGTACGATGCCGGGCTTTCAAGATTTTGCATTGATGATATTCTTGAAACGTTCGTCCAAGCATTACAGCAATACTGCCAGCAGCTGCCGAAACCCACCTTTACGAGCGAAAGTAACATCGTCTTGCGATCTTCCATCGTATTCGATTGGAGGCGACCACATGTGTCTCTCAATGCGACTGTCTACACCGTTAGTTTCCAAGGGCATATCCTCGGCATAAATGTTTTCTGGAGAGGACATTGCTGTGTCTATTTCGAGCGCATGCCGGCCGAGGCCGCCACCAATCAGAAATCGACAAGGGGCTGCGCTTTCCTTCTTTCGGCTGCCTGCCAAGGGCTTCGGCCCTATGCCGTGGCAATTATGCGTCATTTCCGCCCAAAACCTTCTAGACGGTCATGGGAGGGGGCGCGCCACAGCCGGTGCTTGCCATTGCGCAGGGTCACAAAACTGGGGATACGATAATTACCCGACTGGATGAAGTCATAGCGTTGCACTTTGGTGGTCGGCGCCGAGTGTGGACACCCTTCAGCCTCGTTGAGGACAGGCATGATGTACGACAAGGGGAGCAAATACGAGATTGCATTTGGATATAAGACAGATGGGATGCTGCCAT